ATTTATCACACAAATCTCGATAACATATTACACATTTGGATCAGAGTAGCAAAAGACAATTATTTTCAGTAGTAGTTCATCATATAATATGTTGTGTACGCATATAATAAAAAATAATAATGTTTTAAAAATTAAAAAGAAGAAGAAAGAGCAGGGCGTGCTGGCACGCATCTGTGATCCCTAGCATTCGGGAGGCAGAGGCAGGCAGATATCTGTGAGTTCAAGGCCAGCTTGATCTACGTAGTGAATTCCAGAACAGTTGGGGCTACAGGGAGACCCTGTCTCAACAAGGCCAAAAAAACAAAACAAAACAAAACAAAACAAAACAAAAAACTGAACTGGAATGCCTAAGATATGCCTTGGCTCAAGATAAGGTAATCAAATTCCAATTATTTAGAAGTCATTATCTGATTTGTGATTTATCTGTATCTACTGATCTATGACTTTCTAGTGTATTCTCAAGATCAAGGAACAGTTTAATGTTAGGAGTCAAGATGACCTGGATTAAACAGTGACTGTGCCATTGCTCTTAGCAAGTTAATGTCTAACCACCTCAATTATCTCATGATTTCTTCTATAAAGTGAAGGGAACAATGTCTCTTTGCAGGGTTGTATGGGTATGAAAATACACAGAACACACACACACACACACACACACACACACACACACACACACTTAGAATTGTATCAGGCCATCAATTACAGGTATTCAGGATGTATTCATTTCATTTTTCCAGTTTTGGAAGTAGGAGAAAGTAAGAGAGTCATGCTAGTGAGTCGATGTAATTTCTCATTAACAGCTTTGGCAGCATAATGAAAAGAATTGATTAAATAAAACCAGAGAACATTTGACATCCCATATCACCACTAATGTCTTTAAACAGAAAGTTACAATTTAAACAGGATGTTTTCTTCCTGAAACAAATTCTATATACGTCTCTTTGACAGTTTCTAAATTCTTGGACCAAGAAAGTCTCTACTAAGTAACTTCCCACCCCTATAATGTCAGGTTTGCTTGTACTATCTATTTCACTCTAGAAATTACAGGGGGTGGAGGGGTAATCCAGTAGTATAACACTTTCCTAGTATGCATATGAACCTGAGAGCAATCCTCAGCATCACAAATAGGTCCATGTAGTCACTGTAAATCTTAGCTGATCATAGCTCATACCTGTAATCCAAAGCAGGAGGATCATGAAGTTCTACATAGGGAGACCTTGTTTCTTATTTCAAAAAAGAAAACCCCACAAAGCAAACAAACAAAAGTCCCAATAGAGTAAGAATGGTTAATTGGGATGAGCAATGTGAAGGCAGGGCAGAGGGTGGTGTATGGGCAGAGATAACTAACACTAAGGGCCTTTAGAAAATGTCACATGGAAGCCTACCAATATAGAAGCTTCCTACAGTATATAAATATACATCATAAAAGGAACATAAAAAGAGTTACCTTACAATAGGGGGACAATGCCCCTGCTACACACCATAGGCTAACCCCCAATGTAAAACCCCAATGATGTAATGTTCTCCCTTTTCTGAAGCTGTTACCCAGGCATCCCATAGACCTTCAAACAATACTGGCCATTGCCCATGCTCTTGGTTATCCACCAGGAATTGATGCTAAGACCCTATTTACTGAATGTGTTACATACATGAGCTGAAGAAGAAACAAGGAGAAATTAAACTGGTGCTGACTTCAAAACCTCACCTCTACTGGCTAGCTTTCATAGTGTTGGAAGGTGCTATGCAAGCTACCTAGAGAAAAAATTTTCCATGAACTACCCAGCTGCAAATCCTGCAAACGGTAACAACAACTGGCCTGGCAACATTTGCCTACTGGTGCAACAGTGACACGAATATTTATAGAAGTAAACAACTACTTTGTAATTGGACTTAAGGTCCACTTCATAAGATAGAGCTTGCTATCAGACCTAGGAATCGAGGCTAGACAGATCGCAGGCCATAGGGAAGTAAGTACCTAATACTATTATTCTGATAATAGTATAAAAGTGACTCCTAATGACTTGCTATGCCCATATATTTATGCACTCTCAACTCTCACCATAGAAGCTTCCTTATGCAACAGATAGATGATTAACACAGAAACCTCCAACTAGCTAATATGCAGAGAATAAGAGACTGCAGAGTAATTATCCCTGAATTGGACACCTATATCAAATCCTTCCTCCAAAGGTTTAAGCATCATTGTGGAAGAGGGAGGAGAAAGATTGTAAAAATCACAGGTGGCAGATGACCACAGGGAAACAGTTTTTCAGGCAGCTGATCAGGTATTGTATAAACTCACAGCAATGGTGACAGTATGCTCAAGTTCCATGTAAGCTCAAGCCAGACAAAATCCCAGCATAGATGTGAAAAAGTGGGTAAGAAACCCCAACCCTACCTGAGGAACTCCTTGGAAATCAGTGACTACTGGGGAGGGAATAGTCAGTCTCTTTTAAGGGTGTGATTCTTGGGAAGTTAATCAGGCTCCAGTGTATGGATCCACACCCAAGGATTTGGGGACACAACTATGACACTATATGCCTTAATTGAAATTGGACAGGGTATGGGGCTGGAGAAATGGTTCAGGAGTTAAGAGCACTGGCTGCTTTTGCAGAGGACCCAGGTTTCATTCCCAGCACCTACATGGCATCTAACAATGTCTGTAATTCCAGTTCTATGGAAACTGACACCTTCTTTTGACATCCATGGGTATTGCATGACACAGATCCATTTACATACATGCAGGCAATACACTCATACACATAAAAAATAAAATATTAAAAATAAATAAATAGGAGGCTGAAAAGATGGCTCAGCAGTTAAGAACACTGGTTGTTTTGCAGAAGATCTGGGTTTGAATCCCAGCACCCACATGGCAGCTAACAAACACTCAAACATGAACGAATAAATAATAAATAAAATTAAAAATAAATAAATGAATAAATAAATAAACAAAATATTTTTATAAAATAAATTGGGTGGGGTAGTAAGGGTGCAGGTAGCAGAGGGGATCTAAATTTGCTCAAAATATTTTGTATGAAATTCACGAAAATTCAATTTAAAAGGGAAAAATAGACATTGGGGAATTTTCATGATATAATACTGGCTAAAATGAAAGAGATAAATAAACATATAAATATATAATGCAATTTTATTTTTATGTAGCAAAAAATTCTCAGTCCTGGTGACATAGTTTGCCTTACTATTTTTGTTATGAAAATCACAACTTATGTTGTAAAACATCTATAATTCTGAAATTGATTTTTTAATCTATTAGCTGTAAACATCACAAAATTTTCAATCCCAGAAGCAGAATATAAAGCAATAGAGAAGTCTCTATGCATAGTTTTTACATGTATGATATTTACAGCAAACATTCACTGGATCAATAATCACACACTCACCTTGCTAAAGAAATTCTTGCACGTTGACCTCCACTCAATGTGACTCCACCTTCTCCAAGAGCTGTGTTGTCTTTTTCTTCAAACTTGGAAATATCCTATTATCAAACACATAAAACTAGAGTGAGATTTTGGGGATATTAAATCTGAAATTGAAAAGTACATTTTCCTTCAAATACAACCATATATCAGACTACTGCTCTAACCACAGTCAAAATTTCGAACAGTGCATCTCAGTTATTTCAAATGCAATTCACTTAATTGGGTAAAATAACATTACCAAAATTTTAGGTGTAAATCTTTCTTCCACTTTAAAATGTTAGTCATGATCATTAAATAAGAATTTGAAAATATAAAAAGCAAAATAAATATGTATTTGTGGGTACGTTTATGTATATAGATTACCCATAGATCAATCATATAAACTCAAATGCTATTAAAATGTTAAATAGTACTTCCAATTTAAAATCACTCTTAAATAAAATCTCAAAAATTGAGAAATCTCTTCTAAAGAAAAGCTAAAATAGAACTATTCACAGTGCGGCATATATACAGGCATCTCAGTAGGCTGGCAAGAGTACAAGGCCATTGATTTCCACACATCTCCCACTCATTCTCCCAAACAACAGTGCAAAGATCCTCATCATCATTTCTGTGTCCTTTCCCAATTGACTCTGCCTCTCTTGACACCTCCCTGCCTTATCTGACATCCCTCCTCTATGTTACAACTATTGTAGGCCTAGAAAAGATGTTTAGAATTTGTAAGAAATAGTAAAGAAATGACTTTAGACATTGTAAATCTAATGTAATGCTGGAGGGAAGTCACATAACAACCTAAACATTTAATAGGCCATTTTACTACAGATTGTGAAACAGGACACTATTAGTTGGCAAACGAATTATTCAGATAATAGAAGTAACCACACAGCAGAGAAAATGTTGCAGATTTTCTATGAAAGGCTTCACGTGAGATGTGAAGATGAGAAGAGCCGGATATAATCTCCTCTGGTCCTTTCTTTTTGTCTCCTAGTCCCATATAATCTTTTCCTTTTAGTCACCTCCTACATCCCTGTACTTAAGTGTCATTCATCCTTCGCTTCCTTTTCTTTTTCAATCCAGAAATAAACCACCAACATTTATATTTAAAATATCACACTATTTTGTCATTTATTTATTTAATCTAGTAAATGAAATTAAGCAGAATTTTATGCCTAAAACGATAAACACAAAGCATATAAATTAATAAGTGATTGCTTTTTTAAAGGTCTATAAAAAGGTTCTGGTCAGCTGCAGCCATGCTGGTCAGTGTTCCAAGGAAGCACTGCAATCAGCGTTCCTGACCAGGAGTGTCCAAAGGCCTGGATAAAGAATGTGCCACACTGAAGGAGATATGACAGGACCTGGTGGTCTCTACTCTGCAGGCTCTGAAGACACATTAATTCAGAGCGGTCACTGAGATTCGTACACCACTGCCTATGAAGAGGACATTCTAAAGTTACAAGGCACATGAAATCAAAGCTTATTCATTAAAAAAAAAATAAGCATATGGTCAATTCTTTTATTTAGTTCATCAACTGAACTATATATCTATGGTTCCATCCAAATAACAAGGACTGTATTTTATATATAAATTTTATACCCATAGACTGAAACCTTGCTAAAGAATCTGTTCAGCCTTGCTGCAGAACATGTTCATGGACACATTGCTCTTTAGGCTTTACTGTTCTACTTAACCCATCACACCCTCTGCATCTGTTTCTCACAATTAACAAGACAGCTCACATGTGTGTTTCTTCTGTTCCATTTCCCTTCTCCAAATTCTATCCCCTTAAAACTACCTAATCCTCCTAGAGAAAAAGAGGATGATTTGCTTAATATCTTTCAGTGTAAACTAATTAGAAGAGATAAAGAGGGCCACTTCATTCTGATCAAAGGAACAATTGACCAAGAAGACACTACAATCATGGACACATATTCACCAAACTCTGGTGAATAAAAACAGTACTACAGGACTTTAAGAACCAGATTAATCCCAACTCATTAACAGTAGGGGAATTCAATATTCCAATATGTCCATTAGATAGGTCAAAAGGACAGAGAATTAACAGAGAGACATCTGAATTAAACAATATCATATATCAAATGGACCTAACAGACATCTACCAAATATTCCACCCAAGCACCAAAGAATATACTTTCTACTCAGCACCCCATGGGACCTTCTCCAAAATCAACTATACACTGGGGCAAAAACACAAACCTCACCAAATACAAAAAGACTGAAATAATTCCATGCATTCTATCAGACCACAATGCAATAAAGCTCACAATCAAAACCAGAAGAAGCCCTAGTCACCACATGAACTCATGGAGATTAAACAACACACCTCTAAATGATGAATGGGTCAAAAGAGAAATTTAGAAAGAAATAAAAGTATTCCTGCAACTAAATGAAAAGGACAATACACCACAACAAAATCTCTGGGACACGCTGAAAGCTGTCCTTGGAGGGAAGTTTATAGCTCTAGGTGCCTACATCAAAAAATCAGAAAGAACACAAATAAATGACTTAACACTGCAACTCAACACACTTGTAAAGCAACAGCAAACGAAACACAAACCCAGCAGACAAGAAGAAATAACAAAAATCAGGGCAGAAATTAATGAAATTGAAACAAAGAAAACAATACAA